TAGGGAGGAAATGCAGAATTGCGGCACAAATCTAAACGGCTCGACTAGGCTCGTGATAGTCGGTGTATAGCATCATGGTAGGAAAAGCCATCACTGTGCGAAATTGTGAGGTCACAGGTCAAAGGTCAGTGGGGACAGGGCAGAATTTTAGACATATTTCTGAGGAATGGTCTGACGGAGCGATTGAAAACTTTTTGTTTCAGCGGTGAGCTAGCATTTTTATGGCTTTATTGAAAGGACCATGAAATGTCCCTTCTGCTGACATGCGAAGAGTAAGTGTCGGATAACCTTTTGGACCTCAAGAGGAGGGTTAAACTTGGATTTGTTGACTGTTCTGTTAGAAAGAAATTTGACTGCCGGGTTTGCTAGTAGATCTATACATGCCCTGGATGTATGAGGCTACAATGTCACAGTGAAATTTCAAAAGCTAAATTTGGTTAAAGAAGGTGTATGTTCTTAAATCGGTATAATTCTATGTCATTCTGTACTGTCAGTATGTTACATGTAACGTATGCCACTGCCAGTGCTGCTGCCAGTGCATGTGTTGGTGCAGTTTTTGCCTGCCTTAATTGTGTTACAGGTGGCAGCTCTCTATTGCAATTTGCAGCCTGTAGGCTTGCGTAGGTAAATGGATGAGTGCCTTACCTATTCTGTCTTGCAAATAGTTGTTGCTACTAACGTATGTATGGGAGCTTTCCATCTTTAATCTGAAGACACTTAAAACGTATAGCGCCTCTCTCTCTTTCTCTGACACATACACATCCCATATCACTCTCTACTGTTTAAAGCCAGGGTCCTACCATCCCATATCACTCTCTACTGTTTGAAGCCAGGGTCCTACCATCTCATATCTCTCTCTACTGTTTGAAGCCAAGCTTCTACCATTTCATATCACTCTCTACTGTTTGAAGCCAGGGTCCTACCATCCCATATCACTCTCTACTGTTTGAAGCCAGGGTCCTACCATCCCATATCACTCTCTACTGTTTGAAGCCAAGCTTCTACCATTTCATATCACTATCTATTGATTGAAGCCAGGATTCTACCATCCCATATCACTCTCTACTGTTTGAAGCCAGGGTCCTACCATCCCATATCTCTCTCTACTGTTTGAAGCCAGGGTCCTACCATCCCATATCTCTCTCTACTGTTTGAAGCCAGGGTCCTACCGTCACATATGACTCTCTACAGATTGAAGCCAAGGTCCTACCATCCCATATCACTCTCTACTGTTTGAAGCCAAGCTTCTACCATTTCATATCACTATCTACTAAATGAAGCTAAGTTCCTATCGTCCCATACCAGTCTCTATCATAAACCATGTCTTTATACGTATGTAGATTTTTAAAATTTGTATCTCAACTCGTTCGCTCCACGTGATAGTAACTGCACTTTCTTACTGGCAGTATGGTCGCGTCTGTGTAAGCCTATGGGCATTACCGTGCGTGAATAATAGCTAATTAATTAGACTAATCGTGCGTTAATAAACTCGAAATTCACAGAGATGATAGCTAACACATGTGTCATTATGTATGTAAAATTCTAGACACGTAACTCAAATCGTTCGTGCCATATGATAGTCAATACACTTGCCTGCCGCGTATAGCAGTGCGTATATATGCCTATGAGCGATACCGGGAGTTCATATTTGCTAATTATTTAGGCTAATCGTACGTCAATAAACTGAAAACTCACAGATTATGGCTAAGACATGTGTCTACAGGCATGTAGAGTTCTAGAATTATAACTCACCTCGTTCGCGAGATATGATAGTTAAATACACTTTCCTACCGGCCATAGGCGCATGCGTATAATAGCCTATGAGGGATACCGGTCGTATACATTTGGTAATTAATTAGACTAATCGTTCGTCAATAAACTGTAAATTTACAGAGATTATAGCTTACACATGTGTCATTACGTATGTAGAGTTATAGAAACGTAAATCAAATCGTTCGTGCCATATGATAGTCAATACACTTGCCTGCCGCGTATAGCAGTGCGTATATTAACCTATGAGCGATACTGGGGGTGAATATTTGCAAATTATTTAGACTAATCGTACGTCAATAAACTGGAAACTCACAGGGATTATGGCTAAGACATGTGTCTACAGGCATATAGAATTCTAGAATTATAACTCAATTCGTTCGCGAGATATGATAGTTAAATACACTTTCCTACCGGCCATAACCGCATGCGTATAATAGCCTATGGGCGTTACCGCGCATACATATTTGCTAATTAATTATTATTAATTATTGTTATTATTATTAAGTATTTTTCCAAAAAACCTGATCGATCGTGTTATCTGTTTTAATTTACTACGTATTAAAATGTATATGTAGACAATTTCAAGAAATTACTTCAGTTTTGTATTTAAAAACGTAACAATGACGCTTCTAGGAACTAATCACACAGCCCATGTAAATATCAATCCTAAATTACCGGTATCGATTAGTGACGCTTAAGATAGCAACATTAAAAGAATAAAAAGCGAATGATAAGAATAAACTCAAACACACTGTATGTGCACGCACGCGTGTACGTGTAGGCACGCGTGTACGTGCGCGCATGTGTGTACGTGCGCGCATG